GCTTAGTCCTGGGCCTCTCAGTGTGGGGGGGGTGTCAGTAGATCTGCACAGTGGATGCCCGATTGATCCAGGAGAGGGTTACGGGCGCGTTCGCCTGGGGGGTTATGGGCGCACTGACCCGCTACTGAAACAAGCCCTTTTATCCCAATGGTCTAGTGGTTGGGATTCTGACAGCGCCGTCAGTCCCGTCCCGTGCGTCTGCGTCGCGCTGCTCGTCCGCGTCGCGCCGTCTGTCCTATCCCGTCTATCCGCGTCGCGCTGCCCGTCCGTCCCGTCCCGTTTGTCCGCGTCGCGCAGTCCGTCCCGTCCCTTCGCGTCGCGTTGCGCTGTCCGTCCGCGTCGCTGAGTCCGTCTCGTCCCGTCGCGTCGTGTCGCGTCGCGCTGCCCGTCCTGTCCCGCTGCGTCTGGTCGCGCTGCCCGTCGGTCGCGCTACCCCTGCCCGTGGCGCTGCGCCCTCCTAGTCCAGCAGTGTTGCGCCCCACTCTGTGTCCCGTAGCGCCCTACCCTATGTCCCGTATCTCAGAATCCCAACCACTAGACCATTGGGATAAAAGGGCTTGTTTCAGTAGCGGGTCAGTGCGCCCATAACCCCCCAGGCAAACGTGCCTGTAACCCTTCCCTAGGATCGATCGGGGATCACCAGTGGACCTCTGACACCCCCCCGCACTGGGATGCCCGAAGTGCATACACCAGGATTCGAACCCGAGACCTTCGCTCTGATACCATCTCAGAATCCCAACCACTAGACCATTGGGATAAAAGGGCTTGTTTCAGTAGCGGGTCAGTGCGCCCATAACCCCCCAGGCAAACGCGCCTGTAACCCTTCCCTAGGATCAATCGGGGATCACCAGTGGACCTCTGACACCGTAGCGCCCTACTGAGTCGCTCTCAGTGATTAGGGCTTCAGCAGCAGCAGTTCCTACCTCTTTGCTTTTGCTATGGCAACCCCTAGGGTCCTGCGCTTTGACGTCGAAGGTAGGCCGCTCGAGATCTCGGTCTGGCTCCTGCGTGCACGCCGTCTTTTAGAGAGTCAGGTTCAGGCCGATAAGTCTCTATTGGCGCACGCTACCGACAACCTTCCTAAGCCCGACGACCCAGCACCCTTAGGCACTGACCCGAGCACTACTGACAGAGACAGTTATGCCCGCCAGCGTGCCGACCTGACGGCGTGGAAGACGCGTGACGCTGCGGCCTGCATCGCTCTTAGCAGCCTCCTCCGTGAGTCTGAGGAGGCCCACTTCACTCAGGTTCGCACTGCTAGTGAGTTCCTGACTGCGATTAAGGCCCGCTACGCTACTCCCACCACTGTCTCTCTTGGCCGACTCTTCCTACCGTTCTTGTTCCCTGACCTCGCCTCATTTGAGCGCTCTGCTGACTTGATTGCTCACCTCCGCTCGCTTGATTCTAGCTACTGCGCTGCTTGCACTGAGGCACAGCTGGGAGTGCTCCCTCCCCCCATGGCGATTACCATCTATTTCATCGCCACTAGCCTCCCTGACCGCCTTGCCTCAGTCCGTGACACGCTTCTTCTGAAGCACCCCAGTGAGCTCACTATCGAGGTCCTTGAGTCTGCGCTCAAGGACGTCAAGAGCAACCTCCGCTCCGAAGCCTCCGTCTCTGGTGCTGTGCCCCCTCCACTGTTCCACGGGTGCACTGTCCCTCAGGTGCCCACCTTTACAGCCTCTCTCGCTAATGGTGCTACTGACATGACCGCAGCTGCTGTTACGACTTCTTCGCGGTCTCGAGGTAGAGGTGGCAAGAGGGGCGGTCAGGGTACAGGTGGCGGCGGCGGTGGAGGCGTTGGTGGCGGAGGTGGCGGGGGTGGCATGCCGACTAGTGGCGGCGGGAGTGCAGGGCCTGGAAAGGCGTCTCGTACAGCGGCTGGTGACTCCGCTACTGCAGCTGGTGGAGGCGACGCCCGGGCTCGTCAGCCACCTTCTGGTCTGCTGGCCGCGGCGGGTGGAGCAACGGCGTGGTACCTGGCCCAGTAGTGGCAGCAGCAGCAGCCCCTCCCCTTGCAGCAGCAGCGGCCAGGACAGCGTCAACCTCAGCGAGGTGTTGTTCACCCTTCGTGCACCTATCAGGTTCTGACAGGTGCTCGTCGAGGCCAGCCTTGTGACCGCACCCACCCTCCTGGTCAGTGCTTTGCTCAGCTCACTGACACGGTTCGCTTGGCATTCGGCGTTGGCAGCCCTGCTCCTGACTGGTTGCCTCTTGTTCAGAGGTACGGCTCTGCTCTTTGGGGCATGTCTGCTTCTAAGTTGCTTGATCTCTTAGAAACTCCTCATGCTATGTATGGTGTTGTTGACTCTAGAGCTTCTGACTCTATTTACTCGTGTGTTGTTAGCCTAGGTGCTAGTCTTGCTGAGTTGCCTGTTACTAGTGTAGGCACTTGTGTAGACACTAGTCCAGGAGCTACTTCGGAGGTATGCAGCAACATGCTCGGTATCCAGTAACGAAAGGAAAGTAATTGATTAATTGATAGATTACAACAGATACAATACGAACCTTATAGAGAAGCATAGTGACGTGCAAGAATGTTCTATGGGAACGTTGTTCATGATGAACGTTGTTCATGATGAACGTTGTTCAAGAAGAACGTGCAAGCACCTACTCTAGTATGCGGTTCCAGGTTGGCACCGCAAGGTGAAAACGCCATCAGATGAAAATACCGTCAGATGCATTTTCTACCTGCCCAGGAGTAGTTGCGAAGGTGCTCGCAACAGACAGCTGCACATACTCGTTTGTGCAATGTCGTCACTTTCCTCCATTTCGGTTCAGTATTGAACAGTGCATACCGAAGTGCACTATTGGAGTGTACTCGGCAAATACCGAAGCTCTGGTTTGCGGTATGCAAAACCTCGCTACTTCGTATAAGGCTGCTACACGCAAAACCGGGCGCGTGCAGGGCTTCACCTCAACACTCCCCTGCCCTGCTCGTGCCTGGGCATATAAGAAGTTAGCTCAGCACACAAAGCGAAAGGAAATAATAGAGTACAACAGGGTGACGATTTTGAAACTCGTCCGCGTGTTTTCCGCATATGCATACTCATCGCACCAACGATGTTGAAGGACATGGCACCTGTTCTTGCACATTGTCACGCTCGTCGTCTGCAAGATCGACTTGCCCAACAGTGACAGAGCAGCAATTGAATGCCAGGGAATGCAGCGCCTTAGTGAGATAGTTTGCGGGTTGCTCACTAGTTGGGATGTACGTAAGCGCGATCTTCTTGCACTTCACCATCTGCTGCAGCCAAATGTACTGTCGCTCCATATTCTTGAGACTCCCCTTAAGCCCCAACCCTTCTGCAAACGCATTCACGGATGAGTTGTCCACGTGGATGACGGTTGGCACCCCAGCATCGAGAATCCAAAATTCAGCGAGAAGAAAGCGCAAACGTCGCGCCTCCTTGCCTGCATCCGTCGCAGTAATGTATTCAGATTCCATGGAAGATAGTGTCACGCACTTAATCCTCTGACTTGCCCACAAAACTGTAGCTCTGCCAAGCACGAAAGCGTATCCGCTAGTACTGCTGCAAGAGTGCCTACCACCCATGTCATCACAATCCGCAAACCCCATCTCACGTAGAGTATCCAGTACACCACCAAACTCGAGGGCAAAATTGTGGTCCACGTAGTCAATACAGCGGTCCACCTCCCTCCAGTGTTGGTCATTGCAAATCGTCAACCTAGAAGCCAGCTTGCTGCATGCGTATGCAATGTCGGGACGGGTCGTGGTTGCGGCAAACTGGAGCGAACCCACTTTCTGCAGTACTCCTCCTCTTTACGCGCCTGGTATTCTTCGTCGTCAAATGTCAACTCTGTGTACGCATCGACCAAGATGGGCGTTTTCGGGCGATGACATGTATGCTGTTCGTTCGGCAACGCAGCTTGTCCATATATGTGCTTTGGTGCAGCCACAGCTTTCGCGCAAACCTGTCCCGCACTATCTCCAGCCCCAAATACTTCTCCACGGGGGTGATTTCCCGCAGCTCGAATGCGTTTTGCAGAAGCTCACGAAGGTCGTTCAGCATCTTGAGGCTACTACTCGCGGCTAGCAAGTCGTCAACGTACACCAGCAGCCAACAACCGACTCCACCAGCACCGAACTTGAAGTAGAGTGCTTCGTCCATGTGACTCTTGCTCTACCCGCCGCCAATGAGTATGCTGTCGAGCGCCGAATAATATAGCAGTGGACTCTGTTTGAGTCCGTACAAGCTCTTCAAAAGCTTGCATACGCGAGATGTACCGTCGTTGAAGTACTCTGGCTGCTCCATGTACAGAACTCGGTCCAACTTGCTCTGGAAGTATGCGTTTTTCATGTCCAGCTACATGAAATGAAGATCGAGTACCGCGACAACGGAGAGGAAAATGCGTAGCGTAACGTACCTGCCGACAAGTGAATAAGTCTCATCGTAATCCGCACCATAGATCTGCGCAAATCCCTTCACGACGAGACGTGCCTTTTCGCGGGCGACCGTGTCGTTGGCGTTGTAATTTGTTGTAAGAACCCACCGGTTCTTCATGACATTGACGCCACGCGGTCGAGGCACCAGCTCCCATGTTTTGTTGGCAAGAAGGCTGTGCATCTTCTCCTCCATTGGTGCCTTCACCGCCTTCCCCTTCCAGCTCGCAAGCGCTTCCTTGACGGTCATCGTTCAGGGCCAGCGTGCATATCGGGATCCAGTTCTGGCAGCGTCGTATCCGCGTTTTCTTCGTTAAGAAGCGTGTTAGCGAATACCGAGCATACATCAGCCCACTTCTTTGGAGGCACATCAAAGTTGGAGCGGGTAGAGTGCTGTGATGGCAGCTTGACTTCTACCACATCGCTCAAAGAACTGTCTCCAAACGACTCCCCTGCAGCTTCGCCGATGACCTCCACAACGTCGCTCGACGTACTCTCGTTGATCTGCTCCCCTGTCAACTGCTCCCCTGCCTGTTTCTGCATACAATGTGCGCCATTCTCAGAATATGCAGCAGGCTGACCGTCGACGATGCCGATGCGCGGCGCCGAAGGTAGCGCGTCATGTGTCTCCCCTGCCGACCTGGATGGGGTGTCTGCGGTGGGACGAGAGAGGGTTTCCGCAGTCGGTAGCGGAGAGGTGATGACGGTAGGCAAGGAGGAGGTTGACGTTTTGGTGACCGGCACCACACGTGGGTACACCGGTGGGAGGGTAGAGCTGGGGATGGACGTGGGACGTGCAGAGGTGCAGGAGCGGAAGCCGGGGCATCAAGCGGATTGCCGATCTCATCAGCAAGAGGAACCGGTGGCAAAGAGGATACAACCGAAGTGGATACCTTACACTTCCTGGCGCGCGCTCTGCATTCCAGTCATCTCGCGACTGCGTTTCTTGAAATGTCACCTCCACAGTGGTAGCGATGCGGTTTGCAGCGAGATCCAGCACCTCCCAACCGGGAGAAACGTAAAGATGAAGACCCCAGAGGGCTTTCTGCGCAAACTTCCCACCGCGCTGATGTTGCAGGACCATGTACTGCACCATGCAACCCCACACCCGGGCCATGGTGAGGTCCAGCTTCGTTTTGTACATCGGCATATACGGTGTTGCCCCCGAAGGCATAGAAGCGTGCTAAATGCTGTTGCGCACCCACACAGTTTGGCGAAGTGCGAGGTGCCACCAGTGGTGTGGTACATTCATATGCAAGAGCATCGTCCTCACTGCCTCGACAAGTGTGCGCATTTCACGTTCAGCCATACCATTATGCTGCGGGGTATACGAACATGTCAGATCGTGGACAATGACACGAACACCGCCGTTCGGCGAACCGAACAATGTTCCGTCCGCCGAACGACTTTCCCAAAAAAGGGTGTTCGCCGTTCGCCTATGAAGGCGAGCACGAACGTGTTCGTGGCAAACACGTTCGTGTTCGCCCCGGGTCTACAATCACACGTTTGTGGATTGTGCATTGTTGACATTTGTTAGGTGGCTGTAAGGTCCAAATAGAGTAAAATTCAAATCGTTGCACATTCGCTCCCCCCACCCCCCAAGCCAATCCCGCCCTGCTTCATCCATGCTAGTGCCAGCGTGTGACGGCGAAAGGCTAGATCTGCACTTCAGCAACGGCGAAATGCTAGATCTGCACTTAAGCAACGACAAAATGCTAGATCTGCTCTTAAGCAACGGCGAAATGCTAGATCTGCTCTTAAGCAACGGCGAAATGCCTTGATCCGCACTTAAGCAACGACGAAATGCTAGATCTGCACTTAAGCAACGGCGAAATGCCTTGATCCGCACTAAAGCAATGGCGAAATGCTAGATCTGTACTTAACTAACTTTGAAATGCCAGATCTAAGCCCAAACACCAAGGCCCGCGACCTTAAGATAGGTCGCGGGCCTATTCGTCGACGAACACATTGGTGTTCGTCAAAGGCCTGTGTCGAACACAAACACGTTTGTGTTCGACGCGTCTCGGCCAGCTGAGCCAGGCGAACGACGAACGTGTTCGAGCGAACAGCGAACACGTTCGCCCCGAACAATTCGAGGCGAACCGAGCAGGAGTTCGTCATATTGCTCATCCCTAAGGCGGTGAAATCGCCACCCAAGAACTCCCCTCCCATTGTCTGAACAAATCATCTTCACCGTCAGCTCGCTTTGCCGCTCCACCATCGTCAGCCACGTTTCAAATTTCTCCAAAGCGTCTCTCTTTCACGTGAGAGGATACGTCCACACGAAGCGCAATTTGCAATCCTTTAGGAGAAGAAAGTAGCGACTTTCGTCCTTTGCAGCAATTCGAAAGGGTCCTGCTGTCGCCCCGCCCCCCCCTTCTCCTCCATCTCCCTGCTACGCGTGCAGCAGTGGGGAGGAGGGTATGGGGTTGGCGGGTGTGAGTAATTCGCTGCCGCCCCCCCTCCTCTCTCTCCCACTGCCGCACATGCCGCTGTGGAGGGGGGGGGAAGGTGTGAGGGAGACGAGGGAGTGGCGGTAGGGATGCCGAGGGGTGTGAAAGGGAGTTTTGGGGAAATGGGGGAGGTTGAAGGGGGGTGGCCGCCATGAAGCCAGCAACTCCAGTCACCCGTGAGACCGTTGTGTCAGAATGAACAAGTGTGTATGCACTAGAAAAGTGGTGGGTACAAGTAGGAAACCCAAAACTTACTGTACCCCATAGTAACTACCCCAATACAGCCTAAACAAACTGTAGAGTATAAGTTTGACACGTTGTGCCAGTCGCACGTGAGACCGTTACTCCAGTTGCCTGTGTGCCAGTTGCTCCAGTTGCGCCGTGTGCCAGCAGCTTCGGCCGCCGCCATCCACCTGCTCTCCTCTCATGGTCCCTCCTCCTCCTCACTTGCCCTCTGTTTCTTCTGCTAAACTCTGCATGTGAAGTGGCCTTATGGCCGCTTGTTGTGTTTGCTATCCCCCACTTTGCCTATGGGGGTGTGTCAAAATGCATATTGCTGTGTAGGCTGTAAAGAAATGAGGAATGGAAGGAAGTGAGTTCACTAGCAAGCAGTTGAGTACATATAGCAAACCCTAAATTGGGCTGTACTCACTATTGAGTACCCCACTGCAGGCTAGACAAACATAACATTCTGACATACTCAACAGAGAGAACAACCCTTTTAGGGTTTCCCTTTATGTAATCCCCATGCCTGCTAGTACAACCATCCCTCCTTTCTACTCTCAATAGTTGCCTAGCACCCAAAACCCAACTACTAAGCTTACTTTGACACGGCGCTCAGGAGCCGGGTAGTTTTGGCAGCTACTAGGAGGCGGGTCGGCGGCGGGCTGTGGGCTCGAGTAGGAGAGAGGTTCAAGTTGGTTGTCAGCGTGCAAGGCAATGTTGCTTTCAGTTGATACGGATTTTCAACGGTGACGAAGTAAGACTTGATGATAGGATGGGAACGAAGCGCGATATGGCCAGGATTGCAGCAACATGGGCTTGAAGGTAACGAAGAGTAATGGAGGAGTACGAAATATGCATTGTAAACATATTCTTTATCGAAATCGGCTCGAGAAGTTCGCACAGATTATGGGACTGTTGTCAGACTTATATGCTATAGTCTGTGTAGGCTGTAGTGGGGTAGTTCATATGGGGTACAACACTTTAGGGTTTCCTACTTGTACTCCTCATGCTGCTCAATGCAATCATTCCTCGTTTCTTCACATGGTATAGAGCAGGTTCCCTAGTGGGAACGCTTCTCAGGGCCCACCACTGAAATCGACTTTTTTTCCTGACCGGAGCGCGAGTCGCCCCTGCCCGAGGCGCGCCCCGTTGGCCGCCCTCACGGCGCGTCCCCTGCCCTTAGTGACCTGTCGCGCCCTCCTAGAGGCCCCTCTCATAGCCCCGCACGCCACCCTTAGCGGCCCCGTCGCCACCCCTTACGGCCCCGTCGCCGTCCTTTGCGGCCCCGTCGCCGCCCCTCTAGGCCCCTCGCGGCCCCTTCGCGGCCCCGTCGCCGCCCCTCTAGGACCCTCGCGGCCCCTTCGCGGCCCCGTTGCCGCCCCTAGTGGCCCCGTCGCCGCCCTTTGAGGCCCCTCGCGGCCCCTTTGCGGCCCCGTCGCCGCCCCTAGCGGCCCCGTCGCCGCCCCTATTGGCCCCGTCGCCACCCCTAGCGGCCACGTCGCCGCCCCTAGCGGCCCGACGCCGCCATTCGCGACCCCGTCGCCGCCCTTCGCGGCCCCTTCGCCGCCCCTAGCGGCCCCGTCGCCGCCCTTCGCGGCCCCGTTGCCGCCTCTAGCGGCCCCGTCGCCGCCCTTCGCGGCCCCGTCGCCGCCTCTAGCAGCCCCGTCGCCGCCCTTCGCGGCCCCGTCGCCGCCTCTAGCGGCCCCGTCGCCGCCCTTCGCGGCCCCGTCGCCGCCTCTAGCGGCCCCGTCGCCGCCCTTCACGGCCCCTTCAGCCGCCAAGCAGCAGAGCCGCCGAGCTATCGAGCCGCCGAGCCGCCGGGCCGCTGAGCCGCCGAACCGCCGAGCCGCCGAGCCACACAGCAGCCGAGCCGCCCAGCAGCCGAGCCGCCGAGCCGCCGTCGAGCTACTACTGTTCCTACCGGCGCGCCCCAGCCCTACCCACCCGGACTGGAGAGAGCACTCCCTGCTAGACCACTGCTGTCATGGCTACCCCCAGTGTCCTTACTTTTGATGCTCAGGGTCGTGCTGTTGACTTTGAGGTCTGGGTCGATGACCTCCAACTCTTCCTACAGTGCGATAGGGCAAACGGACTCTCCCTGTTCGAACTCACCTCTGGTGCCTCTCCTGCCCCACCTGCTGATGCTGACAGCACTGTTCGCTCACAGTGGGCCACACGCGATGCTGCTGCCCGTCTTGCTGTGCGTCGCCACTTACCGACCGCTGAGCGTGCGCACTTTAGTCAGTACAAGAGTGCTAAGACCTTGAACGACGCTGTAGTTGCACGCTACTCTTCCCCTGCCACTGCTGCTCTTAGCCGCCTCATGCTGCCGTACCTGTTCCCTGACCTTGCTGCCTTTCCCACAGTCGCTGACCTCATTACGCACCTTCGCACTAGTGATACTCGCTACCGCGCTGCGCTTCCTGCTGACTTCTGTGCCAAGAACCCTCCCCCTATGTACATCACCCTCTACTACATAGTCACCCGGCTCCCTGACTCCCTTCGCTTAGTCAGGGACCATTTCCTCTCAGTTTGCCCCACCACTCTCAACGTTGACCTCCTCGAGGAGCGCCTCCTGGCAGCAGAGAAGAGCATAGTCGCTGTAGGAGCCTCTCGTGGTGACCCTCGCACCCCCGTCTTTGAGGGGTGTTCCCCCTCCCCCCTCTTGCCCTCTGTTGCTTCTGCTGCTGCGGCCGACCTCGTTGGCTTCGAGTCGGTCGGCGCTGCGTCTGCCCCTAGCGGGAGACGCCGCACCGGCGAGGGCAAGGGGGGCAAGGGCGCTAAAGGGGCTGGCGGGGGTGGTGGAGGTGGCGATGGAGGCAGTGGAGGGGGTGGGGGTGGTGGTGGGAGTGGTGGCGGGGGTGGAGGTGTCGGTGGCAGCAGTGGAGGCGGAGGAGGCGGCGGCGGTGGCGGTGGGAGCGGAGGCGGCGGAGGTGGCGGAGGCGGTGGCGGTGGGAGCGGCGGCGGCGGTGGAGCGCAGATGATCACAAGGTACAGAAGCGCTGATGATCACAAGGCGGAAGGGCCTTGGTGAAGATATCAGCAGTGTTGGCCTTAGAGGCCACGTAGGTGAGGCGGAGCTGACCACGCTGCTACAGCTCACGAGCCACGAAGTAGCGGTGAGCAATGTGCTTCGTTCTGTGCTCCACTCTGTGCTCCCGACACAACGCCAGCATGGCCTTGTTGTCTACGTACAGAACTGGAGGAGAACGAGGCGGCTCTCCTAGCTCAGTCAGCAGGTAGGTGAGCCAGCGTAGCTCCTGTGCAGCCATGGCCCCTGCGTAGATCTCAGCCTCACAGCTGGAGCTGAGAACAGAAGACGAGCGGGTAGACCGCCACGAAACAGAGCCGGAGCCAAGGCTGAAGGTGTAACCCTGTGACGACCGCTGCAGAGCCTGGTCGTCCGCCCAAGAAGCGTCAGCGTGACCTGTGAGGACCACTCGACGTCGCCCTCCAAGCACTAGCCCCATGCCCGACGTTCTGCACACGTAGCGCAACACCCTCTTCGCGCAGCCATATGCTCTGGTCGGTGTCTCCCAGGAGCAACATAGCGTGCCAAGATGCTAAGAGGGTATGCAAGGTCAGGTCGTGTGCAGGTCATCAGGTACATGAGGCAGCCAACAAGCTCTGGGTACGGGCCACTCGGCTCTACGGACTCATCCGAAGGCAGAGCTGAGAGCGAGTGGCGAGTAGACAGAGGAGTGGCCTGAGGCGAGGAGTACGTGAAGCCGAAGCGCTGAAAGATCTGCTGCACCATGTGTGACTGAGTCAGGGTAATGGTGCGCTGTGCTCTGTCCCGGGTGATCTGCAAGCCAAGGTAGCTACGCAGTTCACCCAAGTCTGTGCACGTGTGTCTCTTCTGCAGCTCGGACTTCACGTGGGCGAGTCCAGCAGTGTCAGCAGTGGCAAAGACCAAGTCGTCGACGTACACGAGGATGTAGAACGGCGGCAAAGAGGTGTCAGTGCGCAGAAACAGCGACGGGTCGGCAGTAGAAGGAGCAAACCCAAGAGCCGCAAGTGTAGTCCTCAGTGTGTCGTGCCACTCACGGGGTGCCTGGCGAAGACCGTAGACTGGCCGCCGGAGGCTCCACTGGGTACCAGGAGGAAACGACCCAGTGAAGCCAGGAGGGCGGCGTAGCCAGATCTCCTCGTGCAGGCTGCCCTGCAGGAAAGCTGTGCTGAAGTCAAGAGAGTGAAGCTCGTAGTCGCGCTGAGCGGCTATGTGCAGCAGCACCCTAAGAGTGGTCATCTTTGGGGTGGGAGAGAAGGTTTGGAAGTAGTCAACTCCCTGCCGCTGACTGAAGCCTCGAGCCACGTAACGCGCCTTGAAGACAGGCGGAGAACCCGGCGGCCGCTTCACCCTGAAAATCCACATGCCACTGACGATGTTCGCCCCAGGTGGGGGAACCTCGTCGACGTAGGTGCCTGTGGACTTCCAGGAAGCCATCGCTGCGCCCATGGATGACTGCCACTGAGAGGAGTAGGGACTCTCGATCGCCTCAGCGTAGGATCGAGGAGTCGGGATGTCTAGTGCATCCGGGTCTCCCTCAGGGGCAATTAGCGTGGACACGAGATGGGGCAAAGCAGCAGCAAAGCACTGGAACTCCTCATGCCTGTCCTCAAGGACGTCCGTGCTAAGAGCACACTCACCCCCGACGGACGGAGGACAGACAGACCCAGACTCAGCAACGAGACTAGGAGCATAGTCTAGACAACAGCGAGCAGCGAAGTCAACAAGCTCAGCAACTAGGGCAGACGCAGCAGTGGACTCAAATGAAGGGTCCGTGACACCAGTAGCAAGGACGCGCGTGACCGAAGGACTAGCAGCACGAAGAGTAGGAAGAGAGGACTTTGGAGGAGACGGCAACGGGACACGCAGAGGAGCAGTGGAAGGACGCAGCGCCATCTGGTGTGTGCCGGGGACCGCAGGAGGACGCGGACGCACAGTACGACCACTAGTGCGAGCAGCACGAACAGGCGACGCAGGACGAGACAGAGGCTCACGCCGCTCAGCAAGACCCCCAGTAGGACCAGTGTAGGGAGAAGGAGCAGGTAGAGGGGAGGCGGGCTGTAACTGTGACTGCGACTAGACAGGCTGTGGTCACTCTAAGGAAGGAGCAGGATCAGGAGAGGGCGGGAGACCAAGAACCTGCTCCAGGAGCGGAACGAAGTACGGCCTCGGTGGCTCAGCGCCTCCTAAACCAGTAAGGACGGCACCAGTACCCCCAGCGGCAGCACCAGCGTCAGCAGCACCTCCAGCTCCAACAGCGCCAACTCCAGCACCCTCAGAAGCACCAGCGCCAGCAGCACCGCCAGCGCCAACACCGCCAGCAGCTCCAGCTCCAGCAGCACCAACTCCAGGAGGACCGTCAGCTCCAGTAGCCTCAGCAGCACCCCCAGACGCACCAGCGCCAGCAGAAACACCAGCGCCAACACCCCCAGCAGCTCCAGCTCCAGCGGCACTAGTACCGTGAGGAGCTCCACCAGGACCAACTCCAGTAGCCCCAGCAGCACCCCCTGTCTCAGCATCACGTCTCCAGCGGCGGGCAAACCACTCGCGCAGCTCCTGTGGAGAGAGTGGCTCCTGCCTTGACGAAGCACCGCCAGCGGCCACACGAGCAGACCCAGCACCCCAAGGCTCGGCACCCCCAGGCTCCGCACCTCCAGGCTCCGCACCCCCAGACCCAGCACCCCCAGGCTCAGCACCCCCAGACACAGCACCCCCAGACTCCGCACCCCCAGGCTCAGCACCCCCAGTCTTAGCACCCCCAGACCCGGCACCCGCAGGCTCAGCACCTCTAGAAGCACCAGAGTCAACAGCTACCTCGACAGGCTCGTCTGCGTCTACTTGGGACACACCTAACGGGGCAAGACCCTGAGGAGGAGGGGGTCTACCGGGGGAGGACCTGGTGCAAGGAAGAGCGGCGGCGGGGGGAGGGACGCAGTGCGGTAGGGGAAGTGACGGTAGTAAGGCACCGACTCGTCAAAGGTGACGTCGTGGGAGGACAGAATACGGCGCGAGGTGGGGTGGTAAAACTGCCACACGGGCGCGTCAGGGGGGAAGCCAAGGAAGACACAGGGAACAGCACGGGGGGACAGCTTGTCTGCAGACAAGTCGCGGACAAACGCCCGAGATCCCCAGACCCGAAACACAGACGTATCGCCAACCTTCCCAGTCTACCGCAAGGCGCGGGAGGTCTCTGGCAAGGAGACCCGGGGCTGAAGGTTGAGCTGATGCGCCGCGTACAGAACCGCAAATGGCCAAAGAAAATGGGGAGCAGCCGCATGGATCATGGACGTACGAGCGACGTCCATGACCATGCCAATGCGGCGCTCAGCAATCCCATTTTGCTGTGGAGAGGCCGGAAGTGTGAAGGTCTGGCGGATGCCCTATGCACGACAAAAGGCTCCCAGACGGGTAGAGGAAAACTCCCCGCCTCTGTTCGAGTGCAGACGCAGAACAGGAAAGTCCGAGCCGAAACTCTCCCTGAGCTGGAGATGAGCTGCGCGGATCCAGTCGATCAACACCTCAGTGACGTCACCCTTGCTGCGCAAGGGGAAGACTGTGGTGTAACGCGAGTAGTCGTCAACCACCAGCAGGAAGTATCGCTCGCGCCCTTGCCCACTGACGCGGGCGGGGCCCCACACGTTCATGTGGAGAGTCTGCAGCGGAGCCTCTGTCGGAGGAAACTCGGAGGAGTGAGGGGCGGCGCACTGTCGCCCCTCGACGCAGGGGACGCAGGTAGGGCGAGGCCCCGGAGGTAGGGGAGGGAGAGACCGAGGGAGACCAGAGACAAGGACACGGGAGGCCATTCCTCGGAGACGAGGCAGGGAGGGGTGACCAAGGCGGTGGTGCCAAAGGAGAGTCTGGTGGGACAGTAGACGACATGAGCAGGGAGCAGAATCAGGACCAGACCTGGACGCTGCAGCAAACACCTGACTCGACGCAGCTACATGGGCAGACTCAGCAGCCGGAGGAGACTCAGTAGTAAGGGTGTACAGACTCGACCCTGGCCGACGGGTGAACATGGCCAAGTGTCGGCCTGTCCGAGCACACGTGCAGTGGGTCACTCGCTGACTCGCAGGAGTCAACTGGTCAACCCCCCTATCCTGTAGGTCCGCTCCACTCACCAAGTTCGTAGAGAACGAGGGGAGGTAGAGACCTGACAGGGTGCCAGAGGGGGCTGCCGGGCACGGTAAGACAGTGGAGAAGCTAGCAAGGACAGGACCCCCAGAGGGGTCCGCCAGGGAGACTGCAACCGGCCGACTGAGCGGCGTAAGAGTGGTGCGGTCTCAAAAGAAGGAGCGGGACGCACCCGAGTCAAGCGTGAAGGTGTGGAAGGCCTGAGCCGACGTAGTACCTGAGAGGCTTGAAAATAAGTGATAGAGTAAAGGCGCCATAGCTAGGAAAGACCTAGCTAGGCAAGATTAGTTTAGGCAAAAAAAGGGGGTTTCACTAGAAAGCAGCAGGATACATATAGGAAACCCGAAGGGGTTGTACTCACTATAGAGTACCCCACTGCAGGCTAGAGAACAGTAACATTCTAACACACCCCCATAGCCAAAGTGGGGTGTAATCAGCAGAGCAAGCAAAGCAGAACAAGCTCGGGGTGGATCACAATGTCACCACACATTCTGAGCACAAAGACAAGAAGCAATGGTTTAAAGTTCACAATTATGATTAAAGCTAGAGGATATCGCAGAGGACATGAGGAGGAGGAGGCGAGACTGTAAGAGGAGAGGAGATAGGAGGCAACGACTGAAGCTGCAGACACTCGGGCAACAGGAGGCACACTGGCACAGCGGCTACCGGAACAACGCTCCGTACTACTGGAGTAACTGGCCCCGCGGCTAAAAGTAGCCGCAGACGAGCAACGGACCCATGGGCCACTGGCACAGGTGGCTACGACTGGGCTACCGGAGCAACTCCCCGGACTACAGGTGCTGCTGGCGACACTACGGCAACCTCCGATCAACCTCCCCAAACAGTTCCACCCCCCTTGACACACACCCGCTGCTTCACCCCTAGCTCCACTCCCCCTTCACCCCCCCTTAGTACCACTCCGACGGCTCCAACAGGTCCACCCCCCCTCAGCGGCAGCTGCAGCACTGGGAGACGGAGGAGGAGGAGGAGCAGAGAACGGCACACAGAAGTTGCACCCCCATACCCGTCACCCACAAACCCTAATCCAAAGGAATGGGCAGAAGAAGGGGTGGGGCCCAAGAAGAGGCACGGGGAACAGCAGGTAGGGCAGGGGCAGTGAAGAAAGGGCCGCCAACGGGCCTGGTACAGGCGCCCGACCCGCGCGCAGGCGGCCCGAGCCGCGCGCGGGCCTGGCGCAGCCCGTACGGGCCGCGCGCGGGCTTGGCGCAGCCCGTACAGGCCGCGCGCGGGTCTGGCGCAGCCCGTACGGGCCGCGGACGGGTCTGGCGCGGCCCGTACGTGCCGCGCGCAAGCTGTACGGGCCGCGTGCAGGCCACGACGGGCGACGGGGGGCGACGCGGAGGTCCCCGTCGCCCGTCGCAGCGCCTCCCGAGAGCGGCGCACGGCGTGACGGGGCAGAAACCCGCCGCGCGCCTCGGGGCGCACGGCGGGCAGAAAACCGCCGCGCGCCTCGGGGAGCACGGCGGAAAGGGAGAGTAGCAGTTGCAGCGGAAGGAGTGTGGTGGGGCCCACAGGCCAGGAGCTTACTGCTCTGATAACCATGTGAAAATAAGTGATAGAGTAAAGGCGCCATAGCTAGTAAAGACCTAGCTAGGCAAGAATTGTTTAGGCAAAAAAAGGGGGTTTCACTAGAAAGCAGCAGGATACATATAGGAAACCCTAAGGGGTTGTACTCACTATAGAGTACCCCACTACAGGCTAGAGAACAGTAACATTCTAACAACCAGCACTTGGGGCAGCAGACGCACTGGCACCTGGAGTAGCAGACGCACTAGCACCTAGAGCAGCAGCCTCACCAGCACCTAGAGCAGTGGCCTCAATGCCCGGGTCAGGCGGTACACACAAGTAACAGTCACCCTCAACACTAGTAGTCACAGAATACATGGCAGCAAGGATAGCATCATAGTCAAGATCAAAGATGGCAACCCCCGCCCTAGACATATCTCCCCAACGAGGGATCTCTGACGCCTCAGGGAACTGGCGACGCCACGCGTCCGTCAGGCGACCGAAGCAGCGCTGGGTGGAGTGCGGGCCCCCGCACTGCTCACCAGCTCGGTCGCCGGTACGGAGGACGTAAGTGCAGGGACCAGTACCCCCACCGCGCTGACGCGCAGTGTACCACTCACGAAGCTGCTGAGGGGACAGGGTCACACCACTCCGCTGCTGCTAGCGCAGACCACCACCTGAGCCACTCCTCTGCGCAGAGTCGCGACCCGCTCCACCACCGCCGCCGTCGCCGCCGCCTCCGCCGCCTCCTCCACCTCCGCCTCCTCCGCCACCTCCGCCGCCTCCGCTCCCTCCGCCACCACCGCCGGCTCCTCTGCCTCCACTACTGCTGCCGCCGCCGCCACCCCCGGCACCACTCCCACCACCACCCCCACCCCCTCCACTGCCTCCAACACCACCTCCACCGCCCCCGCCAGCCCCTCCAGCGCCCTTGCCCCCCTTGCCCTTGCCAGTGCGGCGTCTCCCGCTCGGGGCAGACGCAGCGCCGACCGACTCGAAACCAACGAGGTCGGCCGCAGAGACAGAGGCAACAGAGGGCAAAAGGGGGGAGGGGGAACACCCCTCAAAGATGGGGGTGCGAGGGTCACCACGAGAGGCTCCTACAGCGACTATGCTCTTCTCTGCTGCTAGGAGGGCCTTCTCGAGGAGGTCAACGGTGAGAGTGGTGGGGCAAAGTGAGAGGAAGTGGTCCCTGACTACGCGAAGAGAGTCAGGGAGCCGGGTGACTATGTAGTAGAGGGTGATGTACATGGGGGGGGGGGGTTCTTGGCGCAGAACTCAGCAGGAAGCGCAGAGCGGTAGCGAGTGTCACTAGTGCGGAGGTGCGTAATGAGGTCAGCGACTGTGGGAAAGGAAGCAAGGTCAGGGAAGAGGTACGGTAGCATGAGGCGGCTTAGTGCAGCAGTGGCAGGGGAAGAGTAGCGTGCAACTACAGCGTCGTACAAGGTCTGAGCACTCTTGTACTGGCTAAAGTGTGCATGCTCAGTGGTCGGTAAGTGGCGGCGCACAGCAAGGCGAGCAGCAGCATCGCGCGTGGCCCACTGTGAGCGAACAGTGGCGTCAGCATCAGCAGGAGGGGCAGGAGAGGCACCAAAAGTGAGGTCAAATAGGGAGAGACCGTCTGCCCTATCGCACTGTAGGAAAAGCTGCATATCATCTACCCAAACCTCAAAGTCAACTGCCCGACCCTCAGCGTCAAAGGTGAGAACACTAGGGGTGGCCATGACAGCTGTAGACAGGCAGTGAGTACAGTGGGGCAGGGCAGTGTAGTGGCAGAGGCGGTGCTCTTACCAGGTAAGTGAGGCGAACCCGGGCAGGCCGACAGGCGGCGGCGCCTCGGCTGCAGTGCGGCTCAGCGGCTCGGCGGCAAAACGCGGCTCGGTGGCAAAGGCGGCTCGGCGGCAAAGGTGGCTCGGGGGCTCTGCAGCACAGGCGGCTCGGCGGCTTTGCGGCTCGGTGGCTCGGCGGCGCAGCGGCTCGGCAGCTCGGCAGCAAAGGCGGCTCGGCGGGGCCGCTGAAGGGCGGCGACGGGGCCGCTGAAAGGGCGGCGATGGGGCCGCGGAAGGGCGGCGACGGGGCCGCTGAAGGGCGGCGACGGGGCCGCAGGTAGGGGCGGCGACGAGGCCGCTGAAAGGGCGGCGACAGGGCCGCGGAAGGGCGGCGACGGGGCCGCTGAAAGGCGGCGACGGGGCCGCTGAAGGGCGGCGACGGGGCCGCTGAGGGGCGGCGACAAGGCCGCTGAAAGGGCGGCGACAGGGCCGCGGAAGGGGTGGGCGGCGACGGGGCCGCTGAAAGGGCGGCGACGGGGCCGCGGAAGGGCGGCGACGGGGCCGCTGAAAGGGCGGCGACGGGGCCGCGGAAGGGCGGCGACAGGGCCGCTGAAAGGGCGGCGACAGGGCCGTGGAAGGGGTGGGCGGCGACGGGGCCACTGAAAGGGCGGCGACGGGGCCGCGGAAGGGCAGCTATGGGGCCGCGGAAGGGCGGCAACGGGGCCGCTGAAGGGTGGCGACGGGGCCGCAGTTAGGGGCGGCGACGGGGCTGTTGAAAGGGCGGCGACAGGGCCGCCTAAGGGCGGCGTCGGGGCCGTAGTATGGGGCGGCGACGGGGCCGCTTAAAGGGCGGCGCGACGGGGCCGCATGGGCGGCGCGACGGGGCCGCAAGGGCGGCGCGACGGGGCTGTCAGGGGCCGTAAGAGGGGCCGTTAGGGGCCGTAAGAGGGGGAACGACACGGGGCGCGACTCGGGCAGGGGCCAAGCGCGCTCCGGGCAGGAAAAAAAAGATCGGTGGGCCCTAGGAACAGTTCCCACGAGGGAACCAGCTCTATATCATGTGAAGTTTAGAACAAGAGAATGGTTGAACTATGAAACAGTTGGGTACAAGTCCTAACCCTAATTGGGTTGTACCCCTTATGGGCTACCCCACTATAACCTACACAGATGTATAAGCAATAATGGTCTGACAGTGCCTACTTGGCCTAACTTGCTCACTTCTTGACCTTGCTTGTACTGTGATCTTTCTATACCTGCACTTGCTTGTTTACCTTTATATATGATTTTGCATGTGAACTGGCCTTGTGGCCTTGAACTTGTGCTCGGAATGTGTGGTGACGTTGTGATCCACCCTGAGCTTGCTTTGCTTTGCTTGACTGGTCTTGTGACCTCTTGTTCTCCCCCACTTTCCCTATGGGGGTGTGTCAAACTTATATGCTATAGTCTGTGTAGGCTGTAGTGGGATAGTTCATAGGGGGTACAACACTTTAGGGTTTCCTACTTGTACTCCTCATGCTGCTCAATGCAATCATTCCTCATTTCTTCACAACTGTAAAGAAAGATGTTGCAATAGTATCAACCGACAGACAGTCCATCTACAGCGCACATCGTAATCCCGATTCTTGATGTTTGAATGCGCATCGGATAAATGCCAAGCAGATTCAGAAGAAACGTCGTTATATAGAGTTGAAAAAAAGAAAAATAAAAAAATAGATTTCTCAACCCTGGATGAAAACCATCATAAACCAAATAACAAAATATCTCAACCCTGAATGAATACCATAATAATTACAATTTCTCGGTCTGATTAGTCTGCAAAAAAAAAAAATCAGAATTTCTACAATCAATAGAATCATGCTACATGTTGGGTGCAAAATACTATTTTTGCACTGCAACCAGCCGCCTGCATAATGTTATGCATTTTGCGTACCGTATGTTCTGTGTGCATTCGTTTTCGCATTTCGTTTCGTGTGTTGTTGCTGTCGGATCATGATAGGTCGTGACGGATCATGACGAGTCATGTTCGTTCATGTCGGCTCATGTTCGTTCATATCGGCTCATGTCTGCTCATGTTTGTTTTCATTGATGAACATGTGCGTTCTTGAAAGTTCTGTGTTTCATGAATGTTCTGTATTTCATGAGTGTCGCGTTTCCCCATGAATGTTTGGGTGTGAATGTCAAGTGAGTTTGGTGTGGGGCTCGATAGTTTGACCAGCCCCGTAGACCACCTCGCGGAGGTCAACTAGAAATTGCGCGAAGTCAGGACCCGCGCGTGGGGTCCTGACATGCGAGTGTGGGTCCTCTGGGCCCACGCGTGTGTTGCCACTGTTTCGGTCGTGCACAGTGTGCACGATCGATACAAGACGGAGCGACATGATCGCTCCGTCACGCGCAGAACAACGCACGATCGCGTCAGCGATCGTCTTGTCCTGCACGACCGAGAAATATCTCGGTCGTGATGAGGGGCACGTGGGACATGTGGGGCACGCCAGACTTCGCAGTTGACTAACGGAATTTTCGCGCTGACTCGGCGAGCAAGAAAATTCGCCAGAAAGTCGCGCTGCTTTGCGTCATTCTTTCGACAGAGGTACAAAACGGTATAATCCGTTTGTAACTGAAAAACGGGAATCTCACACGGGCGTTCATGATCGCACACGAGTAAACATGAATGTTCGCGAGGAGAGTCAGCAGGAGAATTTGGCAGCAGTGCAGGTTGAAGACAGTTATTCTACAGCGGCAAATCAAGCCAAATTCTAAAGCAGTTTTACAACCGTTTTTCAATGACAGCAAAGCAAAGACCTGGACGACAGTTAGACAATTGCTTTGTGTGTTTTCCTTTGTGTACCTAGGACCTCTCTTAATAAGTGTGCTTGTATTTTCTTTCATCAATAATGCTTTCATGATTTCAAGCTTAGAGTCTACTACTACGTATTGACGAGAGTAGATACACACCGAAGTACTGCCGAAACTCTGCTCAACCAGAACATTCACTCTACAAGCTAAGCTTGGCATAACTACTCACTTGGTTCACAAGTGATGTTAAGTGTTGCCTAGTTTATGTTTGTGGCACTGAGTTAATCGCTTCCGCATAGTACCTAGACTTAACACGTGGTTTCAGAGCTGGTCCTTAGTCATTCTCAACGTATCCCTCTATGGGGTTGCCTGGAGAAGAAGGGAATTCAGCCCCCGCGAGTAGTGGCAGCCAGGAATCTGGTGTCTCCGCGCCTAGGATAGCCCGGACGAGCGAGGGCTCGCTGCTAAATGAAGTGCTGAAGAACTTCTCAGTCGACAAGTTCAATGGAGAAGGCTATGACGACTAGTCCTGGAAGATGCAGCTGTACTTTCGGCAGATTGGCCTTCTCAAGCTGATGATAGGCACCGAGAAACGACCAAGTACCCCGGAGCTGTAGAACGAGTGGGACGAGCGCTCATCCGCCGGGTACTACATTCTGTCCCAGAGTTGGGATCTCGCCTTACGCCAAGACATCATGCACCTCCTCCCGAAGGAAGAGTGTGGACCCAAGGCATGGAGAGTGCTCAAGGATCTGCATGCCCCTACATCCGTTGTTGCTACCCTCATGCTGGAGAGGGAGCTCTCCACCCTTCGCCTCAATGAAGGAGAACCCGTTCAACCCGTCCTTGACAAGCTGAGAGACCTCTACGCCAAACTCGCCATCGCTGGAATTGTCTACCCCGAACAAACCAAATGCATGAAGATGCTGTCGCTGCTGCCGGAATCATGGATGATCTTCACAAGCGGCCTGAGCCTTCCTCAAAACCAGAGCTCCTGGACCTTGGAGCGGATTCGCACCAAAATTTTCGAGGAGGACTTCAGGAGGCGCCAACTGAGGGGAGGTGAAGAGGGGAGCAGCAGCTACGCCATGCAAGGAGGAAAAAGGGATAGAGGCAAGAAATGGCAAGGGGCTGGGAGAGGGGCGCCTAAGGAGGAGGAGCCTTCCAACCAGCAAGGCGGTAGAGGAGCAGGACAGGGTGGAGGCCGAGGTGGCAGAGGGGGAGGAAGGGGACCCGGGAGAATGGAGGGCAAGTGTTGGTACTGTGAAAAGGTGGGTCACCCGTGGTTTAAATGCAGAACTAAACCCTCCTGGTGGACCCCCTCCAACAGGTCACAAGATGGGAGCGGCGCCGGAGCTGTTGCCGATGATGAACCGGCCGAACAGGAGGAGAGGGAAGCCGGTCTGTTCTTCCACGTTGGAGAGCCGGATAAGGACGCAGTGGCCGCCCATGCTGGAGCTGCACTGCACCCGCTCAACACGTGGATTCTGGATACAGGAGCGGCATGGACCATGACTCCAAGGGCCGACCTCCTTAGCAAAGTGGGGACTGCACCGATTGCGAAGGTGAAGTCATCATCCGGGCACGCTCTCAAGGTGACGGGGGTGGGACGTGCTGCATTCAAAGGAGCCGATGGCAAACCAGTGGTGCTCAGTGACGTGCCTCTTGTCCCTGATCTTAAAGCTAACCTTATCTCCCTCAGGAAACTAGGCAAGTGCGGGGTCAGCACCTCCACCGAAGGAGCCAAGACATTCACAGGACAGCTGGGGAAGCGGGTTCTGTGGGACCTTCACGAGAGCCGCGACATCTGCAACTCCATGTGACAGCTTCCTGTGATGACATGGGGCAAGGAAGGTGGATCCGAGGGGGGGTGCAATGCTGTAGCTGTGGAGGAGCTGAAGGTTTCAGCTAGGAGCGGTGAAACAGACTGGATGACAGCTCATCGTCGCCTCGGGTACATTGCAATGCCCGCACTGCAGCAACTGCAAAAGGAGGAAGGAGTTAAGGGACTGAAGCTGACAGGTGCAGCAACAACCCACAAGTGTGAAACTTGCTTGCTGAGCAAGTTCACTCGGTTCCCGTTCCATGCA